TGGGAGAGTGTGAGTCAAGACGGATCCCTGGTTTCAAAAGAAGGCAGATTCTTTCTCTCCTGGGGCAGATTCCTAAGAAGGCAGATTCTTCTTCTCCTGGGGCAGATTCCTAAGAAGGCAGATTCTTCTTCTCCTGGGGCAGATTCCTAAGAAGGCAGATTCTTTCTCTCCTGGAGCAGATTCCTAAGAAGGCAGATTCTGAGGGAACAGCAAGATGAAAGCCGGCTCTAAGTGCCGCCTCCGTCCTCCCCGGGCCAGTGGGGTGGAAGGGGAGATGCCCGTCCAGAGGGCCCCACTCCGCACCCTCCGGCAGGGTCAGTGCCTACTGGCCGTGGAGAAAGGCCAGGCCTGTCCCAGCAACACGCTGCCCCTTGAGGCAACAGGGTCTGTGTCCTGTCGGTGGCCTGCAGTCTCCAGCTGCCTTAGGGAGGAGAGCCACCGAGCCCGCACGTCGGGCGAGTGGCTGGTTATCAGAACAGCTGTGCATTCGAGTTCTGGGAGCCCACAGTCCTTTTGAAATATATTATTGCCCAGCTGGTGTGACCCAGTGGTTGAGCATTGACCTATGAACCAGGAGGTCCTAGTTTGATTCCCGGTCAGGGCACATGCCCAGGTTGCAGGCTCGATCCCCATTGTGGGACGTGCAGGAGGCAGCCGATGGATGATTCTCTCTTGTTATTGATGTTTCTATCTCTCTCTCCCTCTCCCTTCCTCTCTGAAATTAATAAAAATTATATTAAAAAAATAAGTGAAGCTGGTCACACCCTTGCTTCTCCCATCGTAGCACGATGCGTCATAACCTGTGGCATTGGCCTGTTTTATATGCAAAGCCTACAGGCCCAGCAGATGGAGAAGACCTTTGGTGAGCTAAGGGGCGGGAACGGCTGCAGAGGAATGTGTGTGTGGATTGGAAAGCCCGGGATTGCTGGGACAGTTCTCTCCCGACAAGCGTAATTGGCCCTCGGGGCTGTGGGTGCCCACATCAGGGTGCCCACATGTCCTGGGTGCCTGCGACCGTCCCGGCTCATGCCTGTTGTCCCAGTTGCCATCATGGTTTGCTTCCCACTCCCACAAGCACTCAGTTTAGATGGTGAATCCCATGGTCGCCCTCATTGTATGCGACCGAATACCTGCCCACGTGCAGATGCCACGGGGATGACGCACTCAGGCAGAAACCTGCACCCGTGTTGCCGACGGCGCAGAAGCCGGCTGTGGGTCGGCACGGGTGCACGGTCACGAGTAAGGCATGTAACCATGTCACAGCACAGGCGGTGCACAGGCAGTGACATCATGGGATAAAATGTCACACAGACCACAGACCGTGCAGCAGCTCCTGTCTCACACCAGCTGGCTTTCAGACCGAGGAAATTACTTCGTGTAGCTCAGCTACAAATGAGGAGTAATGACACGGCCGTCACAGAGTGGGAGTAATTACTAAGGACCTGCGGAAAGCCTGGCCTGTTTCCTGACACATAATAGGCTGCCACAGATGGCATCATCATCATCATCATTATTATTATTCCGTGACTTATTATTTGGGCTTTAATCTCCCCGCCTCTGAAGTGGTGAGAGGTGAGTTCTGTGCTGTCCTGTTCCCAGGTCTTCATGAGGCTGAAACCAGAGCCTGGTGTCCCTGCGAGTGTGTGCGAACGGGGAGTGTGTGTGATCTGGGAGTGCGACCTGGGAGTGTGTGCAACCTGGGAGTGTGTGCGACCTGGGAGTGTGTACAATCTGTGAGTGTGTGCGATCTGTGAAAGTGTGTGCAACCTGTGAGTGGTGTGCAACCTGTGAGTGTGTGCGACCTGGGAGTGTGTGTGACCTGTGAGTGTGTGCAACCTGGGAGTGTGTGCGACCTGGGAGTGTGTGCGACCTGGGAGTGTGTACAATCTGTGAGTGTGTGCGACCTGGGAGCATGTGCGACCTGTGAGAGTGTGCGACCTGTGAGAGTGTGCGACCTGTGAAAGTGTGTGCAACCTGTGAGTGGTGTGCGACCTGTGAGAGTGTGCAACCTGAGAGTGTGTGTGACCTGGGAGTGTGTGCAGTGTTTGAGGACTTTCGACAACATCATGGTCACCCGCCTGTCCCGTAGGTCTGTGAGAGTGTGCGACCTGTGAGAGTGTGCGACCTGTGAAAGTGTGTGCAACCTGTGAGTGGTGTGCGACCTGTGAGAGTGTGCAACCTGAGAGTGTGTGTGACCTGGGAGTGTGTGCAGTGTTTGAGGACTTTCGACAACATCATGGTCACCCGCCTGTCCCGTAGGTCTGTTCCCCTCTGACATGGGGATGGATTCCCAAGGCACCAGCCCTTCTACTCACCCTGAGGACTATCATCTTGGCCTCCCTGTCCCCTCCCCAGCCTAGCCAACTCCCTCCTTCCCACCACCAAGCCATGCTGTGTACACACCAGGGCCAGATGTCACTGACTGGTGCTGGCTGACTCCCGGGGGGTGGGGGAGGGGGGAGAGGAGGACAGGGGTGTTGAAGGGTAGGGGCAGGTGGGAAGGAATTGGGGGCGCTGCCACCCAAGGGGGGCTGGGGACAAACTCCTTGTCCTGTGGGCCCAGCACCTCTCCACATTCCCACCTGGAGCCTTGCTTCCTTCCTCTGCCTTTTATTCCTGATTTCTTCCCACTGTCGGCCCTCCCGTGTGCCTCACCCTTTCCTTGTTGCTGTCACTGCTTGCAGAGGGAGTGCTGCATGGTGGCCTCCGGGGCGGTGGCCCCCGTCCTCCTGGTGCCATCGGCAGGCTCTAAGTCTCCACTCATCAGTATCAGTGTTGCAGCATGATTAGCGATCATCGGGCTTGCCTATTTGCGTGATTAGTGATCATCGGGCTTGCCTATTTGCGTGATTAGCGATCATCGGGCTTGTCTATTTGCGTGGCTGTTCTGCTTACCAGGTGGTTGCCATCCTTACGATGCCCACTGGGAGTGGGGGACTTCTCTAAGAGTCTGTAAGCAAGTGAAGTGGCAACATGGACAGGAGGAGACTGGAGGCGCGTAGAGGCAGGTCCGGGGGAGACTTGCCTTCCCCTGGCCTGGCCTGCTTAGCTTTGTGGTAGAAGAAAGCAGGGCTCTGGCTGGGCCCTGTCAGGTGAACCCAGGCCCAATCGTATACACTGAAAGCAGGTTACACGTTAGAGAGCAATCGAGAAGGAGAGCTGGGGGTGGGGTGACACCCCTGAGGCCCCCTCACCTCAGCCGCTCCTCTCTCGTTTCCCGGTCCTTGTGGGCGCACCTGGGCTCTCGGCCACAGCCCAGAGGTGAGGGACTCGGCCTTCCCGGGATTCCTCTTTGGGAATTGGTTCTATTCTTTGTCGGCACCAAGTGCTTGTGGGAGACAGTGCCTGTGCCAGGGCGCCGTCTTCTCGGGCCGGGCCCTGGGCTGGAGATGTCATGGGTACCAACCCCAGTCTCTCCCCGCTGCCACCATGACCCGTTTTCCCCAAACACAGAGCCAGCCCCAGGGACACCGGCTCAGAATCACTTTCTCATCAGGCCAAGGACTTTTCAGAGTTGCTGTGTTTTCTCTATCATTTCCTCCCCCCACACTTCCTGTTTTTTTCTTCCTCTTTCTCCACCCCCACCCCATCTCTCAGCCCTGTCCCTGGTTGCCTGAGAACAGGAACAAGCGTGGCGCGTTGACAATCGTGATTTCCTGACCTACAGGCCCTCTGTCTGCTGCTCAGAGCTGGAGCCAGAGGGCCCAGCCTCTCCGGGCACGTGAACCCCGGCGGGGAGCAGGCAGGAAGCCGGGGCCCCAGAGCACGGTCTGAAAGAGAACCTCCTAAAACTAATTCTTCATGTTCTTGCAGCAATTTACAGCTTCCAAATTATATCCTCCTGCTTTTGAACTAAAACACTGCAGAACTCCCAGTGTTTTGGCCGAGTAAATACAGTCAAGTGTCGATGGGCACAGCCTAGGTCTGGGCGGGAGACAGGAGTTGATTAATGATTCTGCACCATGTTCTCCTCATGATTCTGCGGGTCTTTCCAGCTCTCTGAAGTTAGGTTCCCTGACCCTTTGGGAAAATGAAGTCGACGGTATTCATGAGGACAGATTAGGGAAATACATCTGTGAGATTCACATGGTGCGCCTGGCCGATGCTATTTGCTTAACAAATGCAAGCTCCCTTTTTTGGTTTTGGTTTTCTGCACAGGGAAATGGCTCTTCAGAAGTACAGTAGCCAGAAAAATTACCTAATCAGTGATGCCCATGGGGGAGAGTCCGTGGCTGTTGCTGTCTTCCTGAAACAGGGAGAGTGAGAGTGAGAGCGAGAGCGAGAGCGAGAGCGAGAGCGAGAGAGAGAGAGAGAGAGAGAGAAGCAGATAATGAATGACAAAGAGATAGATAGAAACAGAGAGGGGGGGGCAGACAGAGCAAGAGAGAGGGGAGAGCAGAGAGAGACCCACTGAGAGACTTACAGGCTGGGTGCTCACATGCCCATCCCTGGATAACAAAGCCTGCCCGTCACTGGGCCCCTGGGGCACGCTGTTCCATCACAATATTTTTCTAAGGGAAACAGGGAGAGCCACCCCGACCACATGCCTGACGTGGACTGTTTTACTAATTTAGCTCCCAGGGTAAAGCTGCAAAAACAACACCAACAGCAATCTGGAAAACGTGCCACCTCCCTTTTTGAAAATCTGGTGTGTTTTTTTTAAAAAAAGGGGGCTTTGCATTCAGGGTCAATGACCAGTTGTTTGAGGAGTCAGCCAGACCATGTGGCTGCTTTTTAAAAAATTCCAAAGGCCAGAGAGTCCAAGACACGTTCTCCTCTGGGTTCCTTGTCCAAGTCGCCGAACCTCGAGCGAGGCTTCTCTGAGCCTCAGTCTTCTCAACCACCAAACGAAAGCATGAAACAGGGTTACCGCGGATGGATTTCTCTCAGCCTGGGAATCTGAGATTCGGGGACTCTCTCCTTAAAAAAAAAAAAGTATTGTTATTGGAGGAGAACAGGAAATGGCCTCTCAGTAACATGACTTGCATTCCTTTTAGCAGATTATCACTCACTTAAGGACAGAGAAACCACCAGACTCAAGGGGGCCGTAGCCCTGACCGGGGACCAGACTTGTCTTGGCCGAGGGCTGCTCTGCTGGTCCGTCCCATCAGCCTGGATTGGTGAACCTGACTCCCAAGAGCCTCTCCAGGTAAGAAACAGCTGACGGGCGGCAGCAGGCTGCGCAGTGACGCCCAGCACTTTCTGGGTGGGGATGTGTGATCTGCACCCCTAGAGAGTACATATGGGAAAGTGTTATGGAGGGTCGTGTTTTTCATCTAGATAGCGTGAGTTTCCTTGAAAACTGAAGCCAGAGCATTTCATAAAGCTGAGCACAGTATAGAAGGTGAGCCCCGGTGATTTCCAAGGTATTTTCCAATCCCGCGGTCCCAGCGTCCTTTATCGCACAGTGCTCCGCTGGGAGTCTCACTCGCTGGGGAACGAGGTGTACCGGGTACTCCCTTTCTTCTTCCCGTGGTTCCTCTTCCCCGTGGGGCTCCCTGAGAGCGCGCCTAACTCAGAAGAAGGAGGCGAGTTTCGGAATGAGGCGGACCTGACTTGGAATTTCAGTTCTGCTATTTATGAGCTGACTGGTTTTGCCCGCATCGTTTTAAATCCCCAACGTTCTGTTTCCCCATCTGTGGGATGGGACAGTGCAGTCTCATCTGTAGACTTACGGTGACAATCGGAGGACATAATGTGCTAGCTTTGTTTCTTTCTTATATGAGACCTCAAAAAAGGTTAGCTTCTCTCCCCGTCCAGCTTTACTTTGAACTGTTAAAATATCGCTTTTCTCCTCCATTGGGTTCCATGTGGGCCTTGGGCCCTGGTTTTCGTTTTCAAAGAGCCTCGAGGTATCTAGAAGAAGAAGGAGAACTTTAGGAGAGAGGACAGCACAGGGACACCAGCAACCAGTGCATCCAGGGGCGGGCCTTGTGCGCACACACCGGAAGTCCCAAGCAGTTACAGAAGAGAGAGGCTGTTACCAGGCTTTTGATTTCAGAGCTTGTCCTCCATAGCAGCCCTCCCTCGCCTCGGCTCTGGCCGGAGTGCCCTTGCAGCCCAGCCATGGGGATGGCGTGCTCTGTTATACCCAACATCGGGCCCGCTCCTCTCCCACCCTCTTGGCCCATCCTTTGTCACTCAAGGTCTTAGGAGAAAACCAACTCCCTCCCCGCAGCCCCTTTCCTGTTAGACCAGCAGGGTCTCAATACCCGGAGGAAGAGCCTGACAGCTGGCATCAGTTAATCTGGGGGCGGGCCTCCTGGCCTGGCGCTCAGCAGGAGTTCCCTTCAAGAATGTGTTCCTCCAGGGCCATGACATGGGCTTTCTCCCGTGTCTGTTAGCTCTGTGGGGCATTCATTCATGCAGCCATCCATGCATCCCACAAACGTTTATGGAGCACAGGCTACTCGGCAGGTATCCTTGGTGTTCGGGGCACAGCATGGAACAAAGCCAAATTGCTGTCTCATGGAGCTTGCATTCCAGTCAGATCAAGGGATCGCCAACAGGGAAACAGGCACATACATTATATCAGGCAGTATTAGGTGCTACGTAAAAAAATAAGTCTGTTCACGCCCGAGAGCTGGGAAGTTGGGAGAGCGGGCATTCCTCTTCTCTAAGGCACCAGGGAAGCCTCCCCGGTCTGGCGTTATCTGAGGGGGACCTGAGCAAAGTGAGAGAGGGGGGCCTCTCCAAGGCCCCATCCCTAAAGCATTCTCATAGAAATAAGGGTGGAAGTTCTTTTCTCGCAGAGTTTTAGTTACTGAGACTCTGGAGATGAATGAGACTTGGTGCCACGCAAGGGGCCCGTGGACAGAGCTGCTTGGGGAAGTGCCGCTGGTAAATGGGGTTGAAGTGAGCAGCTGTCCTGATTTGGTCGTTGTGAAACAGATTTGCTAGAGTGGGAATTTTCCATTGGAACCTCCCCCTGGTCACTGCTACCAATTCTCTTGGAATTCGTTCACCTAGACCATTGCCAAGTCTTGGCTTCAGGGGAGAGGGCGGATCAGTTCATTCAGCAAACATTCAAGTGCCTCTTGCATGCCAGCGCCAGTGCTAGACACCAGGGGTCGGTGGTGATTAGATTCAGCCCGACCTTGAGTTGTTTGTGGTTTTATTGGGAGACCTACGAGTGACTAGACAACACACACTTGCCAGCATCGTGTACGAGTGGGTGTGCGGGAGCCCAGAGGAGGGGTCTCTGACCCACTGAGGTGCGGAACCCGGGAAGCTGCCCAGAGACACGCTACCTCCACTCAGTCCTAGACTTGAGGGCTCATCAGGCAGCTGAACAGCAGGGAGGGTGGGACCTTTAGGGTGGGGCATGTGGGCAGAGGGGAGGCATACCCAAGGCTGCCCCTGGGAGGCCCTGTGCGCAGCGCCATTCACTGTAGCTGTAGAATGTGAGGTGACTCTGAGAGACTGGGGGACTCGTGTGGAGTGAGAAGCTGGAACCTTTACTGTCAGGCCAAGAGGATGAGTATGTCCTGAGGACAGCTCGGCGCTGTGAACCGTTCTTCAAGCAAAGATTGATGGGCGGCTAAGGTTGGAGTTTTATGAAGCAAAGGGTCTAATTTTCTTTGACCCCCAGTTCCTTCAAGGGCTTATGTCACACCCATTCCTCCTAATGTTATAAGACCACGGTTTCCTCGGCTGTCAAGTAGGTGAATACAGACGGGCTGAATGGGATGTCCGTGGGGAGGACATGGATCTCGGGCACTTCCAGCACTGAGTGCCCCCAGGAATGTTCACTGCGGACAATGCTTCACGGGCAGTCTTGGTACTAAATTGCTGAGAGATGGTTGGAACACGAGCCTCGTTTCTGATGGGAGAGAGTGGCTGACAAAAGGCCATGCTGTTCTAGTAGAAACCATGGAGTGTAGGTCTCGATGTGTTTTCTCCCGGTCAGAAAACGGATGGGTAATAGCCATCTCTTAACCCTCTCTCTGCTGAATACTGAAGTAAGAGTGTTCTCTTCAGAAATGAGTGGACTCATTAGGTAGAGAGTACCCGAGTGCCTGCCTCAGGCCCGACACTGTGTGAGGCCTTGGAACATCAAGACACAAACGTGGGCAGCCCCTCGAGGAGTGCATTAGCTCGTCGGGGCAGGAAGGAGCTGAAGTCACAGGAGCAGACGGTGAGCAAGGGTCTGGGCCTGAACAAAGTGATGTGGATGCAGCAAAGGAGCATGCGCTCTGCCCAGGGAAGTCAGGAACGGCTTCCAAGAGGGGCTGATGAGCTGGGCATTGAAGGATGATTAGGAGTTGGGATCTGGAAGAGAGATGCTCGCAGTACAAACAAGGGCCAACACTCACTTCTCTGTGATGCTGGTGGGGAGGAAAGAGCCAGAGTGACTGTGGTGCACAGATAATGCCTCCACTCTGCCTTTGAAAAACCCATTAGTAGCCACCCCCTCATGTTCCCGCCTTGTTCCCAACAGGGACTAAAAATAGTTAAATTAACTCATTTGAGTTGATCTCTGACCCCTTGGAGGTGTGAATGAGCAGAAAAGGATAAAGGGGACCAAGAAAAAAGTGGCGAGAAAAGGAGGAGAAATCCATCATCCTGAAAGAGAGGAACTGCCTGATGGTGGTGTTTCGGTTTTGGTGCAGAAGGTTAGCTGTGCGTTAAGACTTGTTGGTGTGAAATGCCTGCGGGCACCACGTGCAGATCCCTCCACTTGGCCCTGCGCTGGTGTTGGGGGAGGCAGAGGGCCCAGGACACGGACATGGAGGCCCCCATGTCAGGACAGGGCTGCTCTGGGTGAGTGAGTGAGCACAGGCCCCTCTGTGTGCTGCCTGGGAGCCTGGCCTGGCCTCAGCCTCTTGAAGGCCCACAAAGACTTGCTTGTTCTCCCCTGACATCAGCCTGGCCCTCAGGATCTCTCTGTCCTTCTGGGGCAAGATCTCACAGAGAGATAATAGAGTGAAAGGGAAGGGGGATCAAGTGAAGGCTGGCTCTGCGTCACCATGCCAACCAGAGTGGAGGCTAGAGACATGGTGCTTGCCCACCTGCCAGGCCACACCCGCCAGGCCACACCTCCCAGGTCACATCCACCAGGCCCCACCCACCAGGCCACACCCAGGACAGCCCCAGGCTGCTGAGCTGCTGGTCCTACCAAAATAGAAGCTACTGGCATTGGTCCCGAGAGACGCTAGCTGTCTGGTCAATCATGGACAATACATTAGAGGATGACATTAGTCCTAGCTGCATACAGTGGGTTGATTGTTTAAGTAAGCAAGTATTGCATTTAAACACCTGGGTTTTCTATTTTAGCAAAGACTTATAGAGAGAGTTTGGCCTCAGAAATTTCACAAAAGCTCACTGTTTAGAGGGCTGTGTGAGAGGGTCTGGTCTAGCTTCTGTCTGATCCCTTTTTCGGGTGCCTAAACCGAGGCCAGGAGAGTGGGAGGCGGAGCTGGAAGTGGAAAGAGGGAAGACTTTATAGCCACATAACCCCAGGCTCCAGGGCGGGAACATGTACGGAAGGCACTCAGCACAGACCTGGCCCACAGCGGGGGCTCGGCCCGCGCTCCTCCTGGTTGCTTTATGAACTTCCATTTGTGCTGTTCAATGAATGAGCTCCATCCTGAAGCAAAAAGCCAGGACAAGGGAACTCCTGGTTTTCTTCATCCTAAACCGACCAGTCCTAAAACAACCTTCTAGTTATAGACAGGATGGAAAGGGAATTTGACATTGAAACTTCAATGCTTAGTCTCAGAACTTCCGGACAAGGGCAGACTAGTCCTTGAAAAGTGAGCCGGCGTCTCCACTGTCCCTCCAGCGTGTTCCCCACACTCCACTGGGCACCCAGCGACCCGAGATGGTTCTTTTCGCCGGGTTCTCAGATGGTATGAGTGGAGGAGGGGCCCCGGGCCTGGAGTTGGAATAACGATTGGCCCTCTTCCCGTGGAACGAAGAAGTAGCCTAAACAATATTTGATCTGCCTGTGAGGGCTGCGGACCCGACAGCCAGTGAAGGGCAGAGCTTCCAAAGTTAGTCATCTGTGGCCACAGACACCAGCCTGGGAACCCGGGCCGCAGGGTCAAGTTGAAATCAGGACAACACATGGTTTAGTCATCAAGAGCAGGGCTGGGCTTCAACATCAATTGGGAGATAAACTTGGTGAGTTTGTTTGTTTGGTTCCAT